GTTGTGTTTCCATGTTTTATGGGGACATTCCATAGGCGTAATGGTTTTTATACTGTACAAACTGTATATTATATTGCCCTACACCAACCCTACCCCTAAACCTACCCCTTACAGGAAACTTTGTGCATTTTTACTTTCTCAAAAAAACTCATTCTGTATGATTTATAAGCTTGTTTCCTCATGGGGACCTCAAAAATGTCCCTACAACGTGATAAATACCAGGTACACACACACACATTCAGTGTGTTTGAATGCTCTTGTGAATAATTTCTCTGTTTACTGCAAGTGACACAGACAGATCTGGATTCGGCTGCAGTGTAATGGACGGTTTTTCATTAACCAGTGAGGTTTGGCTTGTTGTGTCTGGGTTCATATTTTCATTTATTTTGGGGTGTGTGGGAGCAGAAAGCCAGAGGGAAACCTGCCAAACACCCGAACACAATCTGCGTGACAGCTGATTTTATTTGTGCAAATTATGATCATTCTGTATAATTACTCCCCTAATCCATAGCTGAACGTCATCATCATTATCATACAGTCATTTCACACAACAGCATTGTCCGATTGGATGACTCATATTATAAGGGTGTAGATTAATTTTCATAACTGCACAGTTAATTTCAGGTTTGATGACCACACTGCAGCTGCCACATTGTTTCCGGTCATTATACTTAATTGGTTGCATAAGGAAGTAGTTCTACACACTAGAGTAGTGGTTCTCAAACCTGTCCTGGAGTAGGGCTGTGCGATTTGGGGGAAAATATCAAATTGCGATTTTTTTGACAGATATTGCGATTTTAAATTTGCAAAGTCAAGCTTCAGCTCAATATTGTCAATAATGTGCAGCACAGTATGGGTATCATTACCCTGCTGAAAAAAAAAACAATAGAAACTATCACAGAAATTCTTATAGTTTCCATTAAACCACTACAAATTTCCTTTTTGTTTTGGGCATTATTCCAATAAGAATTACTGTTGTTCTATTGGTTGCCATCTGCCAGATTATATCCCACCAATAGAATCCATCAAATAGACACCATTATAGTTTACATTAAAACCAATGCAATTCCCATTATAACCCTGAAATCCATTACATTTGTTATTGTGTTTTGGGAGGGGTTCTATTGTTTTTTTTCTTCAGCAGGCAAGATTATAATGGTATAACTACTTTTACAGAATTAACTTAATTACTGAATTTCACAGAAAATATTTGTTTATTTTTTATAAATAAAGAACTGTATTTCTTAAGTCAATTATTAAAGTATTACATATGTTACATAGGCTGATTTATTCATTTTAAGTATTTGGGATTTTAAGAACAAGTGGAAAATGTGCTGAATGTTTCATTTCATCCAAGTGAAATTAGCAAGCAGTTAGACTGAATTTACATTCGTTTTAAACGCGGAGCCAGGCGCGTGTCGACACAGGTTGCTCATCCATACTGTCAGATGCGCTCGCGGAGACTTGCGGTGCGTAGCCGGGTGCGAGTATAAACGAGCATTACGAGACAGGCTGTGTGTCCCGCTTTCTGTTTTTTTTTTATTTATTTCTTTTTTTAAATGGTGGGTGTTTACGCAGTTGGCTAGAGCAGTGCTGATTGGAAAGAACGGAGGTGCGCTCACTCTATTGGTTAGTAAGACTGCAACTCAATGTGTGCAGCAAGCGTGAACGGCTCGTCCGTGACGCGGGATTAGCGCCGCGTGGGGCAGAGAGGAGCGAGTATGAGAAGCATTCACAGACACAGGCTGTGTGAGCGCTCTTCTGAATTGGGAATAGCCAACATGCATTATAAACTTATTTCAAATTAATCTGTTGGGGAGATAAAATGTGTAAGATAACGTTCACGTACTAACAAAAACATCTAAGAATGTAACGTTATCTCGTCCATATCGCAGGCTTTGTGATTAGGAAATCGCAACGTCTCAAATCGCGATTTCGATTCTATTAATCGCACAGCCCTATCCTGGAGTACCCCCTGACCTGCACATTTTGTATGCCTCCCTCATCTATCACACCTGATTCAACTCATCAGCTCATTAGTGGAGACTGCAAGACCTGAAGTGGGTGTGTCAGATATGGGAGACATACAAAACATGCAGTGCTGGGGGTACTTCATGGAGAGATTTGAGAACCCCTGCACTAGAGCATTTTAGGGACAAAAAACCCCCAAAAGTCTTGGGATAAATATGTTGTTAATGTGGTAACTGTGGTATAATTGATGACGAACAGAAAATTAATGCACATCTCAGGTGTAACATCACTACACTACACATCCACATGGCTTTATTAGCATTAATACGTAGAACCACCGGCTATTCCTTACATATTTGTCCTACCGTTCAAAAAATTGGTGTCTGTATGATTTTTTAATGTTTTTTAAAAGTCTCACCAAGGCTGAAGTTATTTGATCAAAAATACAGCAAAAACAGCAATCTTGTGAAATACTAATATAACTGAATGTAAATGTTTTCTATTTGAATATATTTTAAAATATTTTTTGTTCCTGTGAAGGTAAAGCTGAATTTTCAGCAGCCATTAATCCAGTCTTCAGTGTCACATGACCCTTCAAAAATCATTCTAATATGCTGATTTGATGCTCAAGAAAAATCTTAGCATTATCAATGTTAAAAACAGTTGTGCTGCTTAATATTTTTGTGGAAACCGGCTGGCTATTTTTTCAGGTTTACAGACAGTCCAAAAGAACAGCATTTATTTGAAATAGATTTTTTTCATAACATTATAATTGTCTTTATTGTCACATTTGACCAATTTAACGCATCCTTGCAAACTTTTAAATTGTAGTTTAAAAAATAAAGTAGAATATGATATGTTAGGAGGGATTGCTTAATGATGTGCATAAATCATACATATATTTTTTATCGCACAGCTTTAAAACCTAACACAAGAACATTCTCAATCAATCCTAAAATCAAAAACCTAGATAAAGACATCTTTTTTCACAAAGATGGCTTTCTTAGGTGTTTTTCCCTAAGACAATCTAATGAGATCACTTCCTGATATGATTCAATCTGATCGCACGTCAGTGTGTTAGTAGGATGACAAGTATGTTATTTTTTTTCCTTCTATTGAATAGAAAGTTACACAGCTTGACCAGACTTAATATAATCTCATGGCAATGATGTCATCCAGACATTACTAACACACTGCGGATGGGGGCTGTTTGTAGAGCCAGAATACGTGTGTGTGTGTGTGTGTGTGTGTGTGTGTGTGTGTGTTAAAAAACTGAAACGCACTTTTATAACTCATGCAGTATTACCACTGGAGTCCAGCCGGAGAGCGTTTGTGCATATATGTCTCTGCTTACACACTGTTTGATAGGCTATACCTAATATTTGCATTAAACCATGGATACAGAAACAGTTGTTTGCTTAAAAGTTGTATGTTTATTTTTATGACATCATTGACTGATGCTTTTATAAATTGCTCTGGTATTAATGGTGTAAACACAATAGATCATATCACATGCAAATGAATACACAAACACTTACACAGACAGAGACACAAACAGCCTGAAACATCATATTTTCATCTTCATCTATTCAGTTTGTGTGTATAGGGTCGGTTAAGCCATTATTTACATCCACTCGATCTATATAGAAAACAGACTGCATTATTATTCCCTTAAGAATCTTCATCCTGCTGCATCCGATAAAAACACTATCCGTGCAGATCACAAGTGCATCCTTCCTGCCTTCATTTCCTCTCAAGAGGACTTATAAAAGCCACACACATTTATATTGGTTGTGTGAGAGTTTGACAAACACAGGTATGACAAGAGAGAAATGAAACACTGAAGCTAACAAACTTCAAACAGACTTTCAACAGAATCTTGAAAGTTTTTTAAATAAAATATGCTTCTATCACTATTTGGATTAAGAGGAAATACTGTCTATCATCATGTTTTATCAAAATGCCAAATCTGCTGATCACTGGCTGTCAGGGTCAGTTGGACTTTTACTGTTTTATTAAAAAACAATTATATATAAAGGACAGGATTGGAACCAGAGTCCTCTTGCATGCCAAACAAAACCTTTACCACATTTTGAACAACTGTGTTGTTTTTTCGTTGGTTATGTCTTATCTCAACTAGCCAGGACTCCCACTGGTGCCCACTCAAAATGTAAAAAAAGAGCATGACGCCCCTGATTGTGGCTGTAATGTGTAGGTCAGAGGGAAAAATCTGGTTTTCTGCCTAAAGAATCTGTCTAAAGAAACCTCCTACACCAGGCTGTAAATAACAACTACACAGATACCACATTTGACCAAGAACTGCATTCCAGAAAAAGGAAACATAACTTTAAACTACACACAGCAATCAAAAAGAGGAGAGAGGACACATTTCATCGAATCTTTGCTGCAGCAACCAAGACCTGACAGACTGAAATTTAAGCCATTACTTTATCTTACGAGAACCAGATCAGTCTGATATGTGAACAATTCATTTAGACCAGTCGGGTTACTGTGATCTGAAAAAATTGGCACACAACAGCGATGAGCCACAGACTGACCTTAATTCAGTTACACATTAAGTACACTGATCCTGATGATGTGAAATCAGTAACAGCTACGGTGAGAAACAAGGCTATTTAACAGTATAATATGAGCGAGCAAGACAGTGTGTGAGAGAGAGGCCCT